AACAAGTGTTGTTTTTCTTTTTTATTTTTGTATTAATTATAAGTACGTATGCCAACAATTTTTAGATTTTTTGTGCTCAGTTTGTATGCCAACAAGTTTTGTATTTTTTTTTATTTTGTACTAATTGTAAATGTGTGCTAACAAGTTTTAGTTTTTTTGTGATCACTTTGTATTTCAATCTCACCTTGTATGCCAACAAATTTTATATATTTTTTTAATTCTGTTGTCAGCAAAAATCTTAAATCAAGAGACTTCAATTCGACATATATTGAATATTTTTAATGTACAATTAAAAATTAATATTGAAAAGTTGAGGTTTAAGGGCGAAAGAAGTCATGTCAATTGTGGAACCAAATATATATAATAAGAAAGAAACTTTGTAAATTTAAATTTCAAAAATAAAAGATGAAAAGAGCATAAGAGTTATTATTGCATTAACTACACCAATATAGAGAGTAGACGCATCATATATGATACCCTCCATCTGAAAATCTACGTATTTTCCTGTTTCACAATATTAAAATAATATTTTAGTAAAATAACGTGTATAATTGCTATATAATTCATACACACTTCATACACATTTACTATATGATTCAATTACCTATACACTAATCAATTCATATAATTCATACACATTTAATTATATCATTCACTAACTTATACAATACTCCAATTAAAGATACACAATACATTTTAAAAACAAAATTCATACAATAGCATATATTATAATTTAAATAGAAATAAAATTTTGTACTATTGAAAAAAATTCATACACAAATGAATGTTTCATACACATTTCATTCACTAAAAAAATAAACTTCAGATTTTTTGTACGCTGTACATAACATATTGTTTCTTTAAAATAAAAAAAATTACAAACTGATAATACAGTTAACAAAAAAATTTAACAATGTTTTAAATGTAAAAAACGACAAATCTAAATAAAACCAACAATTCATAATTAAAAGAAACAAATCATAACTAAAAACTAACCCGAAGAATTTCACTTTCCACCATGTTTAATTAAAATTGACACAAAGTTATCCATCAGAACTGAAATATGCAGCTATGAAAATAATCTTGAATTCTTGGGGAAAGAAATGAATTATATGTTGAAAGAAATTTCAAAATAGTAGAGAAATTTTGGAATGAAGAATAATTTTAATGCTAATAATTTATCTAGCTTTAATTTAACTCAATAAAAAGGTAAACTCTTTAAATTATCAGGCATGCAACATTCAATAAATACACTGTCAAAAGCAACTTAATAAATGTTGTCAGAATTCTTAATCATTAAAATTAATTACTCATTATCACTTTATCTACTTAATTTTTAATAACAATTCTTTTCAATAAATTATAATTAACAATATAATTACTAATAAAATGCTATAGAGTGAGATATTAAATGCTACAAAATAAAATTGAAACTATAATATCATAACTTGATAATAATACTATATGTAATGCTATATGTGAAATTTACTCTTCTCTTTATGTGAGATCATATTACAATAGAGAACGAAAATAATTCAAGCTTACAAAATATCATATAGATGATATAAACAAACGATTCTTTGGCACTTCATATGCACACGTTTCACCCCCTTTCATCTTGATAATACAACTATAAAATTGTACATCATGGATTGGTTTTCTTCGCATGCTTTTGCAAATCAAACAATTTATAGTCGAAACTAATAGAGGCTCACAAATAATGTATAAGAGTCTGCAGCTTCTACAATATTAACATTAGCAAAGAAAAATAGTAAACAAAGCACATTGTGTTTTTAATTTTGGTGATCCATGGCCATATCACATAGGGGTTCGGCGGAACACAGGGTTCATGATTTTGTTAATAGGTGAAATTGGGGCAGATTTATTAATTGGGTTGAGTTTAATTAGTAATGGATGAGCAATAAGTGAATTTATAACTTATATTAATTAATTAAATTATAATTAATAGTTGAGCATCACTTATTAAATAAGTGGTCAATTTTGATTTCAAAAATAGATGACAAAAATATTTTAGAGTCTAACGTATGAAGAGTAATTTCATACAATTTTCAATACTTCTTCAAAATCCTTTTTCCGTAAAATAAATATTCTCATCTAGAAGCAACACAGAGGCGTGTGCTTCTTGTAGCTTGTGTGTAGTAAAATAAGATGGTATAAAAAAAGGCAAAAAAATTAGGCAAACCGAAGTCCATGTTTTTAGCTCTCTCATATTCGTGGAATGAGATTATATTCCATGCTCCTGTCTTCACAAGACTCAAAATATTTATTTATTTACACGATATTATACATATTTTAATTCACTAATGGCCGGCCTCCCAACCATTTCAATGGCACTATGCTGAGTTCGAAGACGGAAATTATGAAATCCATGGCTATACTTTTTTCTTCATCGTCATAATTCTGTTACTTACAATTCTTATCGTTTACGCTCGTTGCATATGCTATTGTCAACGCCCTGATCCCTCTCACGAGCCGCAGTGTCATCGAGGTCTCGACCCTAGTTGTATCAGTAAATTGCCGGTTACCTTATATGGAACTAGCATTAGTGAAGCAGAGTGCTGTATATGTGTAGGTATTTTTCAAGATGGGGATGAACTGAAAATTTTGCCGGTTTGTCACCATTGTTTTCACTCCGAATGTGGCTCACAACTTCTGTGCTGAACACCGATTCCACTCACTTGTTTGACATCTATGTCAATGTGTAGATATCATAGTTCTATGCCACAAATTTCTTTTGCCTTTTCTACTCTCTTCGTCTCGTTTTACACATATCAGTTTGATTTGATACAGAGTTTAAAAAAGAAATGTAGACTTTTAAAATTCATGATTTAAAATAAAGAAAAATATATCTCTAAACTATTGTAAATGTTATGCATATATCCTCGGTCATAATTTTGAAACATTGAAGCATCTATCTTTTTTAGACTAACAAACTCATAATCTTATTCACACAACACTTATTAACTATCGAATCCACTGATTAGATTGCATCACGTGTTCCTATTTAGTCTTTTGTTAGAGTGATGGACATATATGTTCTAATTTTTTGACAGCAAGGACAATTATGTCTCAAAAGTATGATATGGGCATAGTATACCTTTTATAATAGGTTGGGTGTATATTTGCATATTTTCCCTAAAATAAATTTTATATATATATATATATATATATATATATATATATTTGTATGGTTATGAATCATTTCATTAAGAATAAAATGAGAATTTTAAAATTAAATGTTATTTAATATAGAAATATGGTACTAACTAACAAAAAAAGTGAGTTATATAAATTAGGACAGGGCAATATGTTTTATCTTTTCAAAAATTGGATATACTCCATCCGTTTAAAAAATAATGATTTGGTTTGACTTGACACAAAGTTTAAGAAAATGAAAAAGACTTTTAATCTTATGGTCCTAAATTAAAGTTATGTAAAATGTATAAAACTGTCATTTAAACTTATGGTACTAAACATGTCACATGGAAAGTTGATTAAAATGTTACAAAAAAAAAGATGTCATTCTTTTAAAAACAAACTAAAATGGAAAAGAGATTATTCTTTTTTAAACGGAGGGAGTATCATTTTGTGTGTGTTGTTATTCCTAAGGGATTGTTTGGTGCGAGGGACAAAAATAAATAGTCCAAGCATAAAGTTTTGGTGTATTATTTAATTGTCATGCTTAGGATAACTTATCCACAATTCATATCATAGTAATGAGATAATTTATCACATATACATGATGGAATAAGTTATTTCAACATAGCTAAACTCAAAATAATTAATCTTGAAATAACTTGTTCCTAATCAAACGACTCCTAACTATCCTTTCCTAAAATTTTCGTCAATAATGCGCGCAACTCCAAATAAAATATAGCAAACGATTTAAGTGACTTGTAAAATTCACTCTAATCAATCTAGAAAGTGTTTCTCATCGAAATTTATGTATGATGGAGAAAAAGATATCTAATTTTGACTAGAAAAAACAATTGTTTTTTTGTAAAAGTCCTAGATTAATAAATTATGGATATTGTATAAATAGTGTAGAATTGTTTTATGATGTATAACTATATATCATAGATATATATACATTCATAAACTATTTATACAAGATTTTTTTTTTCAATCCAGACCAATGCAAATCACCTCTAAACAATTTCAATGAGTTTTTCTTAATGTTTTAAGTCTTTAACAATTCACGTATATTGCACAATCAAATTATAAAATTGATCCTTGAAGAAGATTTAATAATTGAAAAATGGAATCTTTCAATTGAAAGTAGATGATGTCTTTTAATTTCTCTCAACAAATGAAGGTGACTCTGTTTCTTTGTAGTTTGGCCCACCAGTGATTCATCAGGTCTTGCGGGTGGATCGAACTCAGGTCTTTTAGGTGGATCTCCATCAGCATAATGCTCCACTTTTAATTATATCCTAATTTATGTTTGTATCTCAAAATATATATATATACATGATTTTTTCTGAAGTTAACGGCCTCCATCTGATCTTTGTTTGTGATAATGTATTCTCCTTTTGTTTTTCATTTTTACTTATTTGGTAAGATTGTATAAAGAATAAAGATAATTTTAATAGTTTTATGAAAAATTATGTTTATAAACAAAAGATACTACTTAAAATTTTCAAAATGATTTCATGTTATAATTTCAAATCAAGATTTTACCAAACAAATCCTTCGTAATGATAGGATAAGCTAGTATTTGTGCTAATTTGGATCTTGGAAAGTGGTGTTTTGGAAAAAGTGAACTCTTAACTTGTAAAGGAAAAAGAGAAACGTGAAAGATCGAACTTTTTTTGATGAAGAAGCAAAACTGCAATAATGTAATTCATTTCTAGTTCTACAATAATAAACACTTGGGGCTGTTCGTTGTCACTCCCTTCCCCTCTCACGTGTTTGGTCATGCAAATAAATTTAAGAAAAAGAAATGGTTAAAATTATTAGGTCATAAAAATTTGTTTAGCTTTGAGAAAAAATGTGTATAAGTTGAGGTAATTTTTACAAATTGTGGAGACTTCATGTCTATATATGAAATGGAAAAATCAAATGACATGTGAAAACAAAATTTGAATTAAGAAAATTGAGGAGGCAAGAAGAACCTCTGCCTCTTGCTTTTAATTCTGTAATTTGATGTGGAAGGAGATATAGCAATTCTAGAGAGGACAGCTTTTAGTGATTTTTCGAGAGAATTGATGCAAACATAATTGTCATTTGGAGAGAGCATAAAAACACATTTAATTCTGCCACCCAAACTAGTTATATCAGCCTCCATCATTCTTAACTGCAGATTCTTAATTCCCCGTTGCAACTCTGAGAATAATTCAGGTCGATCATCGCAACAAAAAGAGGCCTTAATAAGGCATCCTTTGTTATCTTCTTCTTCATTTAAATGCTCAATGCTTACTTCATCGGTATCAGTTGGAGTGTTTAAAACGTTGCTGATTTCTGCTGTTTTGTCTTTCAGATCTTTAACATGATCAACTACACTTCCTAGTAGAGCTGCTTTATCCATCTGTTTCACATAAATACTAGTGTTCAAATTTGTATAGAGTTAAATAAGTAAACACACGAGTTGTTTACCTTTTCCCAAGTAGGAATGAGTTTTCTGAGAGTAGAAAGCTGTGCATTAATTCTGTCTCTGCGTCTTTTTTCAGCTTCACTGTGACTCCTAGAAGCACTTTCTCTTCCCTCGTGAGAGCATTGAGGTAAGTAATTTTGAACTAAAAAATCATTCACATCACAATATTCTGAACTAAAAGAATTCTCCATCTTTTTTTTTTCTATTCATCAATCTATCTAAATACTATTAAATAACATTACAAGTAATTGGCTGTCACTATTGTACTTACGCGTGATGTTCAATGAGTGATGCTGATTGGTCTAATTTATCTTTATAATTGGGCATCTGAAAATCTTATTTGGATTTTATCAATTATGACAAAATTGACAATGTCAATTCAACAAGACAATTTTTTTTAATCTTTGATAGATATAGTAGGATCTTAAATGTCCAACCCATTTACACTTCTAGGCCACTATATATATAAGGTAGACACAGAACATGGCCATTTGCTGACTCACCTACTGCTGATTTGGATTTGATTCTGTAATCTAATATTTAAAATTATTATTTTTACTCTTCATTATTTGTTTTATTTTTAATGAAGTTTGAGTTGGACGTAATGATTTTTGATGAATTGGGTTGCATATGGGTTTAAGATCTGCCACGAGAATTAGATTAATGATTTTTTAATAACAGTATGAATTGAAATATCATGATTAATTTGACATTATTTATACGGTTCAAACAAACTGTCATGATTAATTTGACATTAATGGATAAGTATAAACCACAATGTCAAAGATTAATTGTCAGACAAATTGGATAGGCAAAAGCGAGATTCACACTTGAGATGGGCCTTTTTTTTTTGTTTTGCTCATGGAAATTGGCAGAGATTTTTCAACCACTAGATCACTAACTAACTAAATTAATTGTAGTGAGAAAAGTATTGAAAATAGTAAATTATAATTTTTGTTTTTCTAAAGTATTATCTAATTGATTAAGTAAACTTATATATACTCTTAATTTGTCAGATGACATAACCAATTATTACAATCTCTCGTAGGAGCATGGAACTTTTAATAAAAGATCAAGAAAAGCGTTAAAAACACTCATAAACTTTACAAGAATCTAGGGGTGTGTTTCACTCATATTGTAAAATTAGAAATGTAATTAAGTTTAGTTAGTCAAATAAAAAAATATTTTTAAGACAATCAATAATTTAAATATAATTTGCACCAAATTTATTTAAAATTGTTTTTGATCTCTCTAAATGGTAAATCAACATTTGCTTGATGGATTTAGGGTATTAGACAAAATTAAGAATTTAGATATTTTTCTATACTCAGTGTGAATAAAATTGTCCTTGCAGAAGATGACAAAAGAGGTTAACTGACAATCAACCATAAATACATGGTATAGATAGGGTCACAATAACTCTGCCTGTTGTATAACTTCAACCATAAAGAGGTTATAAATGATTTGATCAGACAAGCAATCTACCATTTCCCCTAACCTGCAACCTTATATTTATCTTTTCAGGTGTGGTCTTCCTTGCTACATTTTTCCTCTAAATTTTTGGTAGGTATGTCAAGTGCTGCTACAATTTGCTATTGTGTTGTCATGTTTCCATTTTTTCTGTTATCTTGGTCCTATTGATGTGTTCTTGTCGGTGAGACGGATATTGTGGCTTAAGATATATAAAAATCTATAGACATACTTACTGAAGTACAACACCTACAATAGTGGCGTCTCAAACACAAATTGGATGCACAATGCAAGGAAATTGAGAATCATTATGTAAAACATTAAAGTTATCATGAACGTGCACTCGTTGCAACACAGTACAAGCACAAGAAATTCCTATTTAAACAAAAATATAAGGCAATTAGACAGTTCCACAATATAGTGTTAAAGAGCTACATTGTTGTATTCAACTATACAAAGCCATCCAACCTACCGGCCACCTGGTATCTTCGGATTCAGAAGAACCTTAAACTGGCGCAAAAAGTATAATTTCTTAGCCATGATAAAGAAAGCATATTGTTCATCTCGGGTACTAGTGGATGGCTAGACCAGTACCATGTCCTGAAAACCCAAGGATACTGGATATACATAACCATCTACCTCACTACTCGTTGAAATGGATAGCACCAACCTTCCACACAATGTATGTTGTAGCAAACATAACTGTGCTGATGAATACAAATGAAAATACAACAAGGAAGACATCAATTCCTCCTGGAAACTCAAAAGTCCATCCTGGTTTTGGCATCCCTCTTTTGCTATCATCAAACAGATTTGTAGGTGCCTCTGGAAGTCCGGATCTCATTTTCCCCTTCTCACTTTCTCGTAGGGCCTCAATTAGTTTGCTTCCCATCTGAGGTTTAGAGGTCTTTGATTCATTGTACCGGCTGAGAACCCTGGCTGCCCTAAGTTTCTCTCTTGCTGTCAATGGAGATCTCTTCAACGTTGGTTTTGGACTGGAGGAAGATGCTTCCTCTTCCAAGTTTGCAGAAGTTCCAGACCCATTTGAAGCTTCGGCTTCTTGCACGGCCGAATCAGTTTGACCAATGGGTTGCACTTCCCCCTCTGTTTTAGAAGATTCAAAGGATGACGTATTCACAGTTGGTGTAATAGCTTCGGAGTATGACCTTTCAGCATTTTCAGAGTCCTTATCACTAACTTCCGTTTCAAGACGATCACTTTTAGCAACTAAAAGATAGAAATTATGTCTAGTAACTGGTACACATCTTCTTAACCCCCGCATCTGAAAGGTAGATGGGAAGTGTGCAACCTTCTGCAGAGAGGCACTCCCAGATAGATTCCAGTAGTTTGCCTGTAGCTTTCATTGAGAAGAAACAAATAAATCACGGAAGACAAATAACACCAAATTCATAAAACAAGAACTGTGAGCATAACTCCCCATCTAGATAAAAATGACAACCCTTAATCACAAACTATTTGAGGTCGCTATATGAATAATCCATATTTATTTCAGTAACTTTTGTCTTAGGATAGGACAAATTAAACTACTCTCACACATCCCCCTAGCTGTCATACAATCTCTATTGAAGAAGGCATTACATAGGGAGTACGGGACCACTGTGTAAATATTAGAAGTTAAAGGATTAGTTATCAAGAAGTTAGTTACGTTAGTTACAGCTGTATACTTACTTATTGTATATATACATGTACAGAACTTCTAAAAAGGTTAATGAGAATACAGTTCATAATTTGTTAATTCTCTGAGCTCTTTCTCTGCATCTAGAACATTCCAGTTTGGTAGGAATTGCTCACCAACTTATCTTCTTCAAGGTAGCTAACATGGTATCAGAGCCACAGTGACTACTGTAGTGCTTCGAGTATCTAAGCTGAACCATGGCGACTGTTGACAATGAGTTGCCAGAGAAGCTGAGTCACAATCATCCTCTGTTTTTGCATTCAAATCGACAATTCTGGTGTTCTACCCAGTTCTATTCAACTGACTAGAGCTGATAATTTTCGGTATGGAGTAGAGATATGAAAATTGCTATTCTAGGTCGAAATAAACTTGGATTCATCGATGGTACCTGCAAAAAGGAATCCTATGGTCCTAATTTGACTAATCTATGGGAACGCTGCAATGTCATAGTCCTTTCATGGGTTATGAATTGTGTTTCGAAGGAATTACTTGGAGGCATCGTCTACTCCAACAATGCAGCTGCTGTATGGAAGGATCTGTGTGAGCGGTATGACAAGATTGATGGATCGCGTATCTTTCAATTGCACAAAGAAATTGCTACAATCACTCAAGGTACTAGTTCAATCTCAGAAACTGCTTGAATTGTGGGTAGAATACAGCACCTGTTCCTAGCTGTGAATGTGTGGATTCGAGAGAGTTTGTAGTGTTCATGCACAATCAGAAATTACTTCAGTTTCTCATGTGACTTAATGACTCATATGAGCAAGCTAGGGGTCAAATTCTCATGGCGGTACCCTTACCTACACTGAATAAGCCTACTCATTGTTAATTGAAAGAGAAAGTCAATGTACCATTTCTCAAACATCTAGTAGTTCTAATTCCTCTGAGTTAAATGCCTTGTTCAGTGCTGGACCAACATCAATGCTTAAATCAAGATCTCATTCTAGTTCAAGCTATGATCCAAATGCATTCTGTGACTACTGCAAAAGAACAGGCCACACTCAGGCTATTTGTTACCAACTCCATGGTAATCCACCACGGTATAAAAGGAAGAAGAAAGGTCTTTCTAACACCTACCAGGAAAGAGGACGACCTAACAATGACAGAAGATCATATCCAGCTGCTCACTTGTGTTTAGTGAATCTGATCATTCTAATTATACCATATTAAAGATGGTATTACTTAGTAAGTTGAGGTTCATTATGTAATTAGTAGAAATTAGAGGAGTAGTTAGCAAATAGGTAGTTAAAGTAGTTACAAAATATTCTTCTCTTTCTTGTATAAATACTAACTAAACATGTTAGTTACATGTAGAAAAGATTTAACAAGTTGTATAATACAAAGATGAGTTTTCTTCTTCTTCTAAACTTCATCTGAGAATCTGCACATTGCAGATTACTCACTCTTCAAAGTTTTCATGGTATCAGAGCCTTTGAGGCAGTAAACGATTGTTCAAATCACTGCGTATCATCTACATAAGCAACAGACGAATCCATGGCAACAGTTGATAACGAGCTGCCGGAAAAACTAAGCCATAATCATCCTCTGTTCTTGAACACCATTGACAATTCTGGTGTATTGCTCAGTTCAATTCAATTGACTGGAGCTGATAACTACTCACTATGGAGTCGAGCATTAAAGATTGCAATTATAGGTCGAAATAAGTTGGGATTTATTGATGGTTCACGTAAAAAGGAAGCATATGGTCCAAATCTGGTAAACCTGTGGGAAAGATGCAATGCGATTGTATTATCTTGGATCATGAATTGTGTTTCAAAAGAGTTACTTGGAGGTATTGTTTACTCTACAAATGTTGCATCTGTATGGAAAGATCTGGCTGAACGATATGATAAAGTTGATGGATCTCGTATCTTCCAACTACACAAAGAAATTGCCACTGTGAGTCAAGGTACTAGTTCAATTTCAACATATTTCTCTAGATTACGTGAACTATGGGTAGAATATGATAGTCTAACTCCTGTTCCAAGTTGTGAGTGTGTAAATTCAAGAGAATTTGTGAAATTTGTACACAATCAGAAGTTACTTCAGTTTCTTATGGGGTTGAATGACTCATATGACCAAGCTAGAGGACATATATTGATGATGATACCTCTACCTTCATTGAACAAAACATATTCAATCTTAATTGAAAGAGAAAGCCAGAGAACCATGTCACAA